TAACCACGTAAAACCAACCCCCGGAGAGGCTCTCAAAAACTGCCGATGCCGACTGTATTGCAAGTCGTCATAGCGAGTATTGGGAAACGTTTTCAATTAGCAATAATCGCGCCTGGGATTAACCTCACGGGCCGCGATCGTGCCGCTGGCAAAGCTGCGGGCACACTCTGCCCCAGCGCTGCGGTACCGAGCGCCGGGAGGAGGCAGCCCGAGCCGGGGGCATCGCCCCAAACATACCCCTGCCATCCCGGGAGGGAGAAACCCCCCGGGGGGAACCAGGGTCTGCCGGATGTCACCAAAGCAAAGTCACCGCCCGAGTTTAAACACATGTTTAAACTCTTTAAATGGTCGTTAGAAGTCATTGAGACTCGTGCAGCTGCCAAAAAGAGGGTCACACAGCACAGTTCTGTCCAGGGGCAGAGGAATGGGCAGGGTGGTAGAATTATAGAATCAACCAGGTTGGAAGAGACCTCAAAGACCATCGAGTCCAACCCTACCGTCGTTACCAGACCATGGCACTAAGTGCCACTTCCAAGTATTGCACGCTGAGCGAGCAGGATGCACTTCTTCCTTGTCATCACAAAATTACTGCCAGGTACAGCCTTGGGCTCATCCTGGCTTTGAAATAACTGTAAGAGACAAGAAAAATGGGTTAAAAAACCCCCCTGCAATGTTTTGAACTGATTAGCTCTTTGGTGAATGGATTTGAAAAGCAGCCCAAATTATTAGAAAGAGCTCATTGTCTGTAAGACAGGTGAGCACCTAGCACACCAGGCAGCAGCCTGGACCTATTCCTACTTATTTGTTCCCCAGAAAAATAAGGCTCCTTTGAAAAAAAGCACTACCACAACCTCCTTATTGCCAGGCAATCTGTAGAGTTTTTCAGGTGATTATTGAGACTGAAACCTGCCCCAAGCAGAGAGGGATGATGGGTTCCTGCCAGGGCACACAGCAGGCAGGTTGGCAGAGCCCTGTGGTTAAACAGTGCTGTGTGGTGAGAGCTGTGGCATGGACTGACAGGATGTGCAAAGCACCACAGGCCACCCTCACACAAGGACTGACAGAAGCCACCACAAGTAGCCACCTCTGCTCACTTAGAGGGATCCCAAATGTGCTTAACTATTGATCATCAGCACTGCAGACAGGCCCAACCCTCCTGGGCCGAGTGTAGGTAATGTAGGCAGATGTAGGTAAATGTATCTGCCTGGTGTACTCTTACAGCCTCCAACAAATTACACCTTGGGGCATTGCTGAGCTAGGACAGATGTCTTTAACAGCCCTCCATGGATTTTTTCTTCTTTTTTTTTTTGTTTAGTCACATTTTAAGCCTAAAGCCTGTTAGTATCAGGGAAAAGAAAACACGTCTTTTACGAGGACAAGCATCTAGAGTGCATTTAATCAAAGCTATTCCATGCATTTCTATCAAATCGGATTTTAATTTTATGTTCTGTGAGCGCAGCTAGGAAGCTCTCAGCGTTTTCAAACTCACTCAGGTGCTAGGGACACTAAGGACACTTTTTCTTTTTCCCTTTCTTTGGAGCATGGGAATTGTAGTCTGTGCTTAGGGCTTGATTTCTCTGTCAACTACATTTCCCAGCAAGCTCCTCTCCCTGCGCCCGGCCCTGTCCTTCCGCGGTCGGACACAGCAGCACCATGAGAGGTGAGTTTCCAGGCGTTATTATCCATCGGTCTTATTTCCTCAGCCGGGGTGGGTTCGGCTCTTACCCGCCCCTGCCATCATCACAGCACAAAGACTGGGAGTCCCTCTGGATTTCTGGCCTGTAGCCGTTTGTAGAATTCTGTTTATCTTCTACCTTCACCTTGCCTGATCTCTTTCTGTGGAGCATCTTAGGTGCGTGCTAAAATCTAACTCGAGCTTCAGATCTCCATAGGTATGTTTAAAGAGTTTCACTTAACATGTACAGTAGTTATTTTCTTAATCTAAGTAATTTCATTTTAAAAGCAGCTTTGCATTTGACAGGAAATACACTGACCTTTCTAATTTTCTATTCTCCACAGTCCTCTGTTTCACAGCAGCTCTCAAATGTATCCTGTTTCTGCTGCTGGACCTGCCATTGCCTCTTCTCTCTTGTGGGCCAACCCCTATTACATTTCTATTTCATTTCCTTCTGAGAGATCTTTTGATAAGGGGCAGGAATGAAGAGTTTTCATCAGTTAAAGCAATTTAAATACCATCAAACTGGCTTAACAACCTTTGGGGGGCATCATGACAGAAGTTATTCTCAAAGCAAATTAGTTTATTGGGAGACTTTGTCCCTTCTAATTAATTCATATGGGAAATTAAACCTCTTCAGAGGGAATGCCCAATATAACTCCTGCTAAACAACAAAACAAGGCAAAAATCATTGCAAACAGAATCACTGCTAAGATAGAAAAAGCAATTCAGACTAAAGTAATTCAGACTGTGGGGGAAGTCCAGTCTTCTCTCTAATTCAACTGATGATGACACAAAGCCTTGAGAACTGGAGATTAACTGAAACAGATCTACTCACTACCACTAGAATCAATCCAGTGTCATGATACTACAGTGAACACCCAAATTTCAATGTATGTAAATGTTGCTCCATTTACTGTAAGACCTGGTACTTGAGGGGGCTGAGGACTCAGGGCAAGGCCATTTTGATGCAGCAGGAGTCTAGAAACCATCCAGGCATCATCAGAAGTACCTCGGTGCCAAACGTTTAGACAAGTAAGCTCCCCACTCATACCTCCGACATCCCCAGAGCTGTCACAGACCTCACCCACGCGACAAGTCTCCTGTGGGCTGATAACTGCTCCATGACCACTGACAGCTAACCAACTCCTTCAGCCTGCTGCCTGGGACACTGAAAGGGATCTGCTCCAGCTGTGAGACCAGTCCCTGAGGTCTGCCCTCAGTAATTTGTGATGGTGAGGGAAGTGTGAGCAGGCATGGATATGTATCCAGGTGTCCCAAATTATCTAGCAAGCTTTAGGCACCAGGTTATCTGACCTGTTGGAATCAGCTTTGAGAGATCATCCCTTTTTATCAGTAATTAAAGTTCTTCTTCCATCTTCCACATCTTGTACAAGCTCCCTTGCCAAGGGAGGTGGGGGAGGACAGAAATACCAGACAGTGAATTCTTAATACTGTTGCTTTCAAAACTTTTTGTACTTTGTATGCAGAACCATAGAGAGGCCCAGAACAAATAGTTCTAAAATAGTCAAATGGAGAAAGGAGAACTGCAGACTTCTAGAAAACCCAATCAAAATCAAAGTCCAAACATATCCATTCCTGTCTCAACAGTTCCTGCACACAATTCCAGGCTACTTACCAGCAAAGCCATCCTGCCTGTCCCCAGCAGGGCATGCTGCTCCTCCCTCAAAGCAGGGTATCATTCCTACCTGCCAGGCAGTTGTTTCTGTCCCACACACATTTGGGTGATCCCTTCTCTCAGCAAAGTCCCTGTTCCTCCTGGAGAAGCAAAGCAGTATCCCTCCAGCTCTCCACTGACTCTGGGGAGGTGGCACCCACAAAGGAGGAGGTGCCAGAGGCAGTTAGGTAGTGTTCTTACCATGTTCAGCCCCATTTCAAGGCCTGTTCTGCATCAGCCCTTTATAAAAAAAAGCCAACCAAAACCCAAAACAAAAACACACCACACACAAGTAACTCCAGTCAAGGTCATGGTCCTGAAAAAAAACATTTCAAGGTTGTTTTTCTCTCTCTTCCCACAACACATGCAAAGGATAGGGTAAATTGAAAGGCCTGATTTGGAGCAGGCAGAATGTTAAAAAAACAGAGCAAGGGTTTCTTCTGGGGAGGAACCAACCCGACAGTGCCCCTGGGATGGGGTGCTTGGCCTTGCTGCCATTTCCTCTGTGTGGAAAGACTTTGCATGCTCAGGTCTTTCTGGGCTCTTGACAAGTCCTTGTAGGCAGCTGTCCTTCACACCAGGATAGAAGAGCAGGAGCCCTGCAAGTCAGGGCTGTTAACTTTGTCCTTGTACCTTGAGCAGTGCTCAGTGTTGCCATGTGTCAAAGGGACATGTGAGTGCTGTCCTCAGATGTAGGCTTTAGTTAATGTTTCCAAAATGATTTGTGTTTCTTTACTAAAAAGAGCAAAGAATACTCAGCATCATTTTTCTAGAGAATCCCAAGAAAATGACATTAAGGACATGTTCTTTGCTTTCTTTTACCTACCACGTGTTCTGTTCTCGCCTTTTAGCTGAACATGTTCTCTGCCAGGAAGTTGTCTGGAGTTTTCAGAGCCGTCAGATTCCATCATTTCAGATCCCATTCTGTATCCAGAACCACCTCAGACTTGACTTTTGTGCCAGCCTGTCTTCCCCCGGATCCCGTGGAAGTAGAGGAGCTGCAGCGCTTTGTTTCTAACTCCAAGAGGCTGTTTGTGATGACTGGAGCTGGAATCTCCACGGAATCAGGGATCCCAGATTACCGCTCCGAAGGTGTTGGGCTCTATGCCAGGACAGACAGACGGCCGGTCCAGCACGCCGAGTTCCTTCGCAGCGCCAGTGCCCGGCAGCGCTACTGGGCGAGGAACTTCGTGGGCTGGCCCCAGTTCTCCTCCCACCAGCCAAACACAGCACACCGGGTGCTCAGAGACTGGGAGAAGCTGGGGAAGCTGCACTGGCTGGTGACCCAGAACGTGGATGCCCTTCACACCAAAGCTGGGAGCCAGCGCCTGACGGAGCTGCACGGCTGCACGCACAGGTACGCGCTGGGGGCAGAGGGAGGTTGGGCAAATGCTCACTCCCTCAGGGTGACTGACATGTGCAGTGTTTGCTGCTGGGAAAGGAGGCAAAGTGTCCATGCTGTGTTCCTGGAGATGACATGCACAAAGGTGGTGTTGGGTTAGGGTGGACAAAAAGATCACAAACCAGTACTGCTCACAGCACAGTATTTAAGAAACATGAGCAGTGCTCCATTTTTTTTGAGCATTATTTGGATCATTTCCTTTGGAGCCTGCATCAGTTTCTCTTCTCCTTGGTGCAGCAAATATCCTCTTAATGAAGAGGACAAGGAGATCCTGAGGATGCCAGGATTATCCACCAGGGCTAAGCAGAGTGGCTAGTTCCAGAAATGCACAGGATGAGCAGACTGGAGAACAGCCACCACTGGGATGGTAGGATCACCCAGTTTGCAGATGAAAAAGCATAGCCTGAACTGGGATAGAGGATGCACACTAGGGTTCAAAATGCTTCCTCTAGAGCATTCCTACAAAGCAACACTCTGAGGTACAAAGACAGCTCCTTGACCTGTGCTGTTTGGTAAGTAAGTGTGGAAAATGATGCCAGGCCTCCTAAGGAACAAGTTACACACTCCAGATCTTCAGCTGACATGAAACTCTCCATTAAGGCTTTGCTCTGAATTCCAGGGTTTTCTGCCTGGCCTGTGGAGACCAAATCTTACGCTCTGAGCTCCAGGAGCACTTTGAAGCTCTGAATCCTACTTGGAAGGCCGAAGCATTTGGCGTGGCTCCGGATGGGGATGTCTTCCTGACGGATGAGCAGGTGTGCAGTTTCCAGGTCCCAGCCTGCCGTAAGTGTGGTGGAGTCCTGAAGCCTGATGTGACATTCTTTGGAGACACAGTGAGCCAGGACAAGGTGAGCTTTGTGCACCAGCGCCTGGCGGAATCAGACTCCATGCTGGTGGCAGGATCCTCTATGCAGGTAAGGAGATCTGCCCCCCACACTGTGTCCCTACTTCTCTGCTACTCTGCCTGCAACAATCCTGGGTCCCACAACTTAGGGCTGGCTACAAATGGCATGTGGATCAAAACAGCCTGTGCAGAGTCTTGTACTTTATTTTTACTGTGGTTGTTACCTGGCTTCATAGGTGACGTGTCTGGGCTTCCCTGTCACTGTTGCCAGTCTGCTTCATGCTGCTATAAATACCTCCATTCACACCTCTCTCTGCTGCTTCTCCACCAGGACATGTAGGTTCACAATTGCCCATAAAGCCAAGATACCTGGCACAATTCTGTCCTTCAGAGATCACCACCTCACTTCTTTTTTTTTCTTTTTTTGCTTGAAATTTTTAGCCTTTGGCAGCTTTTTAGGCCTCATGGCACACTGTGTACAATACCAGGTTTTAGGACCTCTAATTCCTTATTACATTCTCAATAACAGAGCTGAAATACCTCTCCTTAACTGCTTAGGATTGTCCTTTGTATCACAATGTGTTTTCTGCATTAGCCTCTTGTCTGTAAGGTAAGGTAGTTAAACAACAGGGTTTCTAAACCTGTAGAAGCTTTTGTAATAGTGTTTGTACAACAGAAAATTTTCCAGGAACAAGTTCTATTACATGAAAAAAAATTACTCTAACACCTCCCAGAACAAGATAAAACCAAGGCTGCCTGATTGTGATTCTCTTGGCTTCAGGATACTAGAGACAAATTCCTCAAGCTTGAACTTCTTAAGCTTATAATCCTTCGTACAGGAATGACTGAAATGCTTTAGGTTTGTTCTCGTACTACCTAAGCTGGACCATGTGAGAACCATCAAAGTGCAGCATTTAAGTACCTGTGATAACTAATAAAAGCTGCTGCAGAGATTTACTGAAAGACAAGGACGTTTCCCTTCAACATGCTATGAAGTTTCAGTTTCTATGAAATTACAAATCCTTCACTGACAGAGGTTGAAGCTGTTTTTTTCCTGAGTGAAGACATTCTCTACCTGAACTCAGTGCTGTTGCCTAACACAGCATGTACATACAGCCCCTTTTCCCACTGCCAACAGCAACTGTTTTCCTTGCCTTACTCCTTTCTGTAACTCTTCTTTTGCCCTAGCTGCCAGTAATTTTGTCTTCTGGTATTTCTGCAGGTGTACTCTGGTTACAGGTTTGCTCTCGCTGCCCGGGACAAGAAGCTGCCAATTGCAGTCCTTAACATTGGGCCCACCAGGTTAGATCACTTTGCATCTTTAAAGCTGAATTCCCGCTGTGGAGAGCTCCTGCCTTTGATTGTTGCACATGATCCAACCAGCTGAGCTTCAGTAGCTATCAGAAGTAAAGTTAATTGTACAAGGTGAGTACCTTCCCTGGTCAGTCACCTTACAGAGTAAGGAGAAGGGTTCCTGCAAATGCTGAGACTGAGATATGCTGGCTAAAAGGATACTGCCACACTGTGCAACAAAACTTGGCTGTAAATGTTCATTTGTAACTGGTATACTGTGCTGGGCCATGATACTGTTTCCCATGATCATAAACAAAAAGCATACTAAGTGCTAACTCTCCCAGAAAATTGGGCAGGAGTAGCCAGAAGACTCAGCAGCGTGGAATCCAATCCATTTGTTGCTATCAGAAAACTACAGGGGATCACCTGCAGCTCCAGGGAACCTGATCACACTGTGGTCATTGCAACTGACAATTCAAAAGCTGTTCCTGGTTGAATTGGTCCAGCTAATCCTAATCAAACAGTGCTGTTTAGGATAATTAATTCCATCGATAAAGCAGCTTCTTCCTTCCACTCCTGCAGGAAAGGGAAACCCTTCTACGAGGCAGCCGTGAGATGCAGTGCGTGGCCGCTGAGGACACCAGGAGAGGGCAGCAAGCCTCGCACATGTCAACATCACCAATTCTCTCCATCGAAACCGTCTCCACTTACCAGGAAACAGGATGATGATGATGATAAAAAAGTACTTTTCTGCCTTACCTTGCCATTGTAAACAGTGCCTTTTCATTCACTGGGACAGAATAATTGGACTACTGTATCTGAGGACAAAATACCTTTCTTATAGTTGTCCCCAGAGGAGAATAAGGGACAGGGATTTTGACTGAGTAACTTATGGCTATGGCACAGGAGGGTGATGTGGAAAACCACAGAATCCAGGATCCAGTATCTCTGGTGGGAAACTCTAGAGTGTGCAAAGAGGGAAAAGGAGGCAAGAGGAACTTCAGTTGTAATTTATAAAATAAGAAGGTTAAAATAGAAGCAGAACGAGAACACAAGGTTGGACTCAATCTCAAAGATCTTTTCCAAATTGATTCTGTGATTGTTGTAAGAGATTTTTTTGAAAGCACAGACAACAAGGCTGACACCTTCCAGCAAGGAGGGGAAATCAGCATTTCTCTGGCCTGTCAGTTGACAAACTAAACTGTTTCCTATCTGAATCCTTTAAAAATTAGATACTGTTCAAATGCCAGGAGTTACTTCGAGCTAATCTGACCAGCACTGCTTGCAGTGTGGATGCTACATTTTCCAGAATGCATTTTTGAAGATGTTATTTAATTAATGAATAGCTAAGTAGTGAATTAAAATTGTTTACAAGATTGATACTATTTGCACTGTAATTTTCTCGCCCGCCTATGATTTATTTAAGAACACTCTCAATAGCCAGTTTAGATTCATTTTTTCCATTGCAAAAATGCAGGATGTAATTACTAGCAGCTGATGAATTAAGAGAGAAATACAATTAAATCTGCACAATAGGTCTCCCTCAGGAGGTAATCTGAAGCTATTAATAGATGCAATTTCCACACTCCTAACAAGAGATCCATCTCTACTGGATAACCATTTTTTTTGATTCTTAGGGTGGTATCATAAGCCATATCAAAGCATTTACAGAGTAAAAGACAGAACCTTGCACAAACTAGAACAATGAAATTTTGACCCAACCTTCTGCATGAATCTATCGCTCGCCTTCTGGCTATGAGGGATATTAATTGCTGGAGTTTCCAAATGCCTCCTCCTACTCTCCAAATAACATGTCCTGTACTAATCTATACAAGCAGTTGGAAACAAGGATGCCAGAGTCATCTGCTGCAAGGTCAAGTAGCAAAGCAAGGACAACTGACCACATAATGCTAAGTTCTTTTTTTGTTTTGTTGTTGATTCAAATCCAGGCCAGGCAGGAGCAAGTAAAGCACAGAATCTAAGGGTTCAGTGCCAGTAGAACCAGCATTTTGAGAAGGTGTAGGAGCATTGCCTGAAACTCTAAAATGAGAAAATATTTCCAGTGAAGACTTGAAATTATGTGACAGGTAACTAAACTCCCCACATCTTTCCCTGCCTCTCCTCTAGCTGTGCAGCTGGACCTGTGGGAGAGGAGTCAGGGTGTCTCTTCAGCATTGCTAACAGATGAGTCATATTACTCTGACTCTCTACTGATTATACTTTTAAGTCACGAGGACAATGACTTACAATAAGTGAACATTACAGTACATTTCCTGTTCATGGCTTATTACTAAATGTTAATGAGCATATCTACAACAACTATGTGAGGCTGAGATAAAGAAGTTCTTTTTTTTTTCTTCTAAGCTGATCCAGCACTACTAAAACTGACTTCTTTTAGAGCAGGATCAGAGAACTTCACCTCTCAACATGTTCTCCAAGACATCACTGAGAAGTAAGTTCCTTCAACTGAGAAATGCCCAAAAAAGCTTAAAGTTCCTCCACCAAAAGCCAGATCTGCATCACTCTAATGCTGATTGACACCTTCCCCTGGCACTCCTTGGGGATTGTTTGTGTGGGAAGATGCAATGCAGAGAGATAACAGCTATCAGAAGACAACTATGCCATTGCAGGTGGCTGGCAAAGACATCTCTTGAGAAGTTTGTTTTTCTCAGCTTACTGATACAGCTACCAGCCTGGAGGGAGTTACAGAAACCTCCAGGGTTGAGCACTACAGGATGCAAATCAGCTATGCTGTGGGAAAACAACAAACTTAATAACATAACTGACCTAGTACTCCACTTCATTCTCTCAGCCAATGCAGAATTTGCACGGGAGGAAGGTTTTAAAAGGGGGAGAAATGCTGTTCATGAAAGACTAAACCAAAAGGACCACAGTCTTTGTGTTACTGGCTAAAACTGTCAGAAAAGAAATGTCACAGAGCCTGAGCAGTATTCTCACAGATCCTTTCTTCCTGCTAATTCACAGCTTTTGGAAAATGACCCAAACTCTAGTACATGGTGAACTTGGGAGGGTCAGGAACCCTGGAGTGAAGGCAACTAAATCTACCTTGTGGAGTGTGCTTCTTCCTGTGACTGCCTTTCCCAGCCTTGCAGCAGGAAGGTGAAAGGCAGAGTCAAGCCAGATGGGCTTTAAAACCACTGTTCCAGACACCTGCAATTGTGTGCTGCCCCCTGTCCTCTCCCTTCCCACTAAGGAAATATACCCAATTATCACATTCTGCACTTCTTCCCCTCTGCACCACTAACTAGACAAGGGCAGAGCAGAAGAAAAGCTGAGCCCTAGAGGAAGAGCAACAGTACAAGTGTCTCTCATTGGTCTCCAGGTCCAAATAGAAACTGACACAGGATCATTACCACGAGCATAGTTGTTTGCTCTCTGCATGTCTAGCCTCAGCTGGAACACTTTCTCTTTCATCTCTGCAATGCCCATATAGTTAGAGTAATTCGGCTCTCCCTGCAGAGCCTGAAAAATCTTGGCCTAGAAAACAACAATAGAGAAGAGGAAGATAAGATGCTGAGACTTCAGTAGTGCAGTGTGAGCCCATGGAGCCGCTGTCCCTCCACCGTCTGACACAGCAGCTGCAATGGCTGCAGTGCTGTGTGGGGCCTCAGAGCTCCTCTGCTTGCTGAGCACAGGGATACCTGGTGCTTCAGGTACTCCTCTGCTCTTGGAACAGAAACACAGGCCAGCATGGCAGATCTTCACACACTCCTTGTACACCCCACACACTTGGCAGTAAGTCAGTTTGAGCAATCACTGCCTGCTCTCCGACTCCACAGCGTTCAACAAAGCCCTAATGAGCAGCTTTGCACAACCCCTCCAGCCTCCCCACCTGTGCTGCTCATTAGGGCCTGCCACTTTACATGATGTGGGAAGGTTCCCTATGGATGTGGGATGTTTGAATTTACTGTTAGGTCTTTCACACCACCAAAGCAGCATGGAAATGAGAAGCATGATCAAGGCACCAAATGTAAGTGCAGGCTCATAAAAATCTGTATGGAGTAAGATGGATATAGAATGAACTGGGGCATTCATATATCCATTGGCTTTATCTATGGAATCCTAGTGTGCCCCAAATGCTGGATGCCAGGACTAGATACACTGCTCATCTCAAATCTAGAGTTCCTGTTGCAGGCAAAAATTACCCCAACAGTTTCTGAAATGCTTCCAGCTGCACCCCAGAAACCTTCCCTGTTTGTGATCATACAGCTTGAAAGCACAGTGTTCCTTCTAGACAGTGATGGGATTTTACTTCTTCCCTCTACAATGGGGTTTATCATTTATCATACAAAGGGATTTCAGTGACATTTACTTAGGAGCTTTACTGTTCTGCAAGCAATAATTTCAGAGAATCAAAGACACTGTGTGAGGACAGGAGACCTCATCTTGCACTTCCAGCCCTAGGAATGATTCATCTTGGCCATATGACATGAGCACATCTAGAATCCTCAGGATTTCTGTGGAGGACCTTGAACTCAGTGTTCCCATGTGCACGAACACCCAAGGGAAAATAAACAACAAATATTGGTACAAAACTGGGACTCAATCTGCCATAAGGTGGAGTGTGTGGCTGACATACACACTTTTTTAACAGAAAGAACAAATGCAATTCATCCTGTCTCATCATCATCCTAATGCTCTCAACCATCCAGTGACCTTCACCAGGAAGGCATTGCAAGCACCTTACAATTACATATCAAGCCAGTTTCTTCCTTCTCCATCTGCCTGTGGTTTCTCAGAGCCCTCTCACAGATCCCTGGGTTCTGCTCCATGTGTGAGTACAGCTCACATGTGCCTTGCTCAGTGCAGGACAAACTGCTCCCCAGACTCCTCTAGAGAGACCAGCCTGCAGCACGATACACTGAGGGGATGCTCATTGCCAAACCCATCCAGGATCTCCACTCGGTACCTGACCAGGGGTGACAGGGCACCAGCACACTCTCCCCTGGGTGGTGGAGACGGGAGAGCTGTTCCATGAGCCAGGGCCTTCCTTCTGCCCTGGGACCTGAGCAGCCCCTGCCGGCAGGACTGCTGCTGTGCTGTGACTGCACCAGGGGCAGCAGCTCTGGCACAGGACCTCGGCAGGGCTGGAAAACTGGGGCAGACGCTGTCCCTCAGAGCATCCCCCTGCCCTCTAACACCACCTCTCCCTGCAGCTCCGGACCGGGAGCAGCACAGGGCAGGAGAAGGGAAGGCAGCGACCAGCGCCGGTGTAGGGTGTTAATTAGTTTATTTATTAGGCACAGCGGCTCGAGGGCGGCTACTTGCAGTACTTGTCGGTGTCCAGCTTCCTGTGCTCGGGGTTGTAGGGAGCCTTGGCGAAGCACATGGCCGCGGCGCGGTCGCAGTTGCAGATGAACTCGGCGCACTCCTTGTTCTTGCCTGGGGGAGAGAGCAGGAGCGGTCAGACCCCGCGGCTCCTTCCCCGCGCGCCGCAGCGGCTCAGGCGATTCACTGCTGCGTCGTTCTGGGGGTGCACAGGCTTCTCCCTGCTAACCCTCTGCCCACAAAGCTGTGTGCTCCAGCCCAGCCATCTCCTTGCTCCTTCCTCCCTCCCCTGCAGTCCTGTTTGCCAGGCTCTCTGCTATTTACCTCCGTTCCAGAGCCCGGTAAAGGTGCCACTCATTGTTCAGGGGTGTGTGGCAGAAGCCACGCAACACATCCCAGTCAACATGTAACGTTATCAACATGTTACATCCCAGTAACTCTTGGTTACTGCTGTTAAAGGGACTCCAGAAAAGTACTCAACCCCCCGAAGAGGAGAAAGGCTTCCCTATATCCTGTGATACCATATATCTCCATAAACCTTGACTCATGAGCTATATAGTGAATATTCACTCTGGTGCCTGTGTGAGGTGCCCGTTTCTAACAACCAGTCCCCCTGCAGGAGCTTGCACTGTGCCTTCCTGCCACAGAGACGTGAGAGAGTAACACAGCCCTGCTCCTTGCAAAGAGAGAATGGGGAACATTTAGAGCGATGAGGAAATGAACATACTGCTACATGTAATCTCCCCGTTGGAGCAGCTGAAGCTGTACGGCTTAGTGTAGGGGTTGTCCAGGAGGAATCTGCACGATTCCATTTTCTTTGCCTGTGAATAGCAGTTATCATGTACTTGGCAGCACCTGGAAAACAAGGAGAAAAAGGTCAGAAAATACTAGAATGCAAGCTCAGCTGACCTGTAAGACAAATATTCTAGATTTGCTTCAACAAGGCAAAAGAAAAGAAAGATACCCAGAGATAAGAGGGCAGGCACGAAGGACCTCGAAGGGACACAGTTGTGCCAGCTCATGGTCCAAGAGGTGTCTGGTACATGTGTACTTACTGGAGCATCATCACAGTTATTGGGCAGGGAGAGCAAAAACCAATGTTTACCCTACACACCCCCTCAGTGCTCAGCAGCTGCTGAGCTCACAGCCAACACAATTCACCACATCTTGGCTGTCAGACTTGTGTGATCTCTAAACTGCCCAAGCCACTTCCTACCATCTTCCAGCTCAGCCCTGCACATGCTGATGGTTGTGCACTGGGCAGAGCGTGCAGAGCTGTGGCCAGGCTGCTGGCAGAGCACTGCTGCAAAGAAAATGCTGAAAGGAGAGCAGTGTAGCTGCCACAAAAGAGAAAACAGAGTTGTTGGGATTGTATTTTATCTTAGCAATAAGGCATTGAGGTGTGATAATGCACATCCTTCTTCCCTTGAATCGATCTGGGAGGGAAAGCTTCGTTCACAGCAGCCAGAGAGTGAATGTTCTAGCTGAGAGGAAGCTGGTGTGAGAACCAGGAAAGCACAAGCAAGGAAAGAGGTCTGTAAAAGCAGAGCCTTACAAACCTGTCAAGCTCGTCCACAGGTGTCCCACTGCCTCCCAAGCCGCAGTAGCAGCCGTAGTCAGCGAAGTCCAGCAGTGGGTGGCTGGCTGGCAGGGTGCACTTGATCATGCTGCGGAACAGCCACAGGGCCCGGGACGAGCCGCTGGCACTGGCTGCACTCACTGGGGAGAGACACACAGGTTAGAGTCAGGCTCAGAGTTACCAGTCCAGGGGCTGAGGGCACCTACACACCAGACAGCAGGAAAAGCAGGGCCAGGAACTTCATCCTTGCAGGACTTGATAGAGAGACTGGGGCTAAGCGAAATGTGTCTCTTTATACATCAAGCTCACCTTGACATGGCTATGAGATAAACCAGGCAGTGTTTATGTTACTAAATGCAGACTTCTTCTATCAGAGGCTGTGGGTGGCAGGTTGTGAGGTGACAAGTTGAAGGCCAACTGAGTTAAATCTATGAGAGTGAGGAAGGCAAATATTTGCTCTTCAAATTTTTGCTACTATATTCTTGTAGTGCTACAATTAGAAGTCAACCTGAAAGATCTGGGTATTTTTAAGGGCTCTCTACTAAGAAATACTAGCAGTGTGGTAGTTAAATTGGAAATTGCTGGCACACTAATAACCACCTGCCACGAAGACTTGAATCCTCTTTTTTTGGTATCCCACTTACATTAGTTCTGTATGTCTCCGTGGATTCTCCTGGCCTAATTCAGAGAATAAGGTACAGGTTGTCCACTCACCTCAAATGACCATTTGGCATGAATGAGCTGAGCTGAAGAAAATTCAAGCTGTTCTTTACTTTGAAACCATAGAGGGAAGGAGGTACTACTAGGCAAGAAACAGGAGCCAAGCAGCCTGGCAAGCCTCTGTATCTGGCTTAAACAAGGAGTAGTCTCTGTTTTTACATGACCTTAAGGGATTTACATTGGAAATGAACTGGGCTTAGAAATTTCAACATACACAGCAGATTTCAGTAACTGAGAGAGAGCAGTTTCTCTTTCTCCAGCACCAACATAGAATCCAGTTAGGCCCTTTGGTTCTCTAAGCCAACAGATGAGGCAAGTTGGGAACCTTGAAAGAAGTTCCAAAAGTATGTAAGAAAAAGCTTCCTGGAATCAGCCAGGGGTAGGACCAAACCACTGTACTTATATTTAGACCCCAGAAGCTCTGACATTTCTAGGGCTACAGGCTTGGCATTTTTACACACTCAAGATACAGTTCCTAGGCTTTAGGTAGTCAGAGTCTGCATTTATTTCCAAAGCACCAAACAAGCCCCCAGTTTTCAAGAGGGGAGGAAGAGGCAAAGCCCAGCTTTCTGCAACAACACAATGTACCAGAGTGCTTATTCAGGAAGCTTTGGGCTCAACACCTGTCAGTATGTTCAAAAAGGGGTGATGAGGACATCTTCCCCCTCATAGGGTCTGAAGCTATGCCAGGGTGCCCACAGCATCCATAGGATGCTGACATACCCGTAGGACATCTAGTAAAAGCTAGACATGCTGCTGAACAACCAGACCCATTCTGATTTTTCTGTTTCCTCAAGCACTCTAGTCCTCTGGGACTCCCCACTCATAGGATAACTAAAACCAAACAGATGCTGAGTTACAGATTCAGGATTCACAGGGTTCTAACAGTGCATTGAACAAACATTAAGGGCTGATGTAAAGGACAGTCTGTACCACAGTTAGTTCAGAAAAAATAATTTAATCTTTTGTCCACAGATCAATCTGCTGACTTTCCCTTCAATAACCATTTAAGTGTTCTCTGCCTCCTTTGCTCCTTCAACCACATTTATTCTATTTGTTTGTAAAAAATTATTCTGTTCTCTTACCTATGAAACTTAAGACTCTGTGGTTCCTTTTTCCTCAGTTCTCAGCATCTGATGTATTATTGACATTTCCTAGAAAACTTCCAGTAAATTGGCCTTTTAAAGTCATAAATCAAAGATGTCTTGGATTTCATATATTTAGTTCAACAAGAAGATCACCTAGTGTGGGAAAGCAAGCATGTGAGCATTACAGAAGTGCCTCATGAGAAAAATCCCAGCAGGGTAAAGATTTTTCCACCGATGCTATTTTTGGTTTCCCACAACCTGTGCTGTATACAAAGCCACTGGTCCTCTGTATGCTCGTGAGCACATCCCAAACTCACAGACTTAGGCCTTATTTTTAAGACTGCTCTGTAAGACCACTGCACAGGGTTCCCTACAACTTCACACAATTAGAATTCTCTTGCAGCATTGTCTCTAAGCACTTCCCATTTGCACATTTCACTTTCTTAGATCTAGCTTCCTTAGTCCACCATAGTCACTAAACCCAGAGCATGAGCCAAACTTCTAAGCACCACATTATCTCCTCTGTTTTTGAACCTACAAATACTTATACAAAACCTCTGTTACATAGAGAAGAGACACAATCTCCGCTAAAATCAGATCTGCCTGACATTATAAACTGGGCCACTGCCAAAGTGTGGGAGCAACAGCGAGTCAGAGCCCTGCCTGGGGCTTTTATCCTAATGGCAGGATGCAAC